GATGGTCTTGAAATTCAGGTGGGATAGACTCAAGGTCATATTTTGATTCCCGTGGATTTTATATTCTTTAGCTTCAGCTTGAGCTTGCATATGGGTAGTTGGTGGTCTGTTCTACAGTCATCACCCGGCCTGGTTTTCACAATTGATATTGAGCTTCTCGAGCAAGTCTTTCCACAGATGTGATTGTTCTGATTCTTATGCATACCATCAGGTGAAATCCATGTGTAAAGCCTGTGTTTATGTTTCTTATAAAATGTGTGTGTAATGAACAAGTCATTGATTGTGCAAAAATCTGTCATTCTATCTCCGGCTTCATTTCTGTCACGAAGTCCGTGTTTTCTAACTGTTGATCCTTCTCTGTTCCCAGCTTTTACATTCAAGTCATCTATTATTATGAATGCATCTTGATTGCATGTTTAATTAATCATTGACTGAAAAAGTCGGTAGAAATCTATTTCCTCTTCTTTGGCTCTGGTTGCTGGTGCATATATTTGAATGATGGTGGTATTCACTGTACTTTCTTGTATGTGTATGGATATTATCTTGTCACTCACAATATTGTATTTCAAGACAGATCTAGAAATTACTTTTTTAACCATGAAAGCATCAGATATACCATAGATGACAAAAAATGTATGAGATAGGGCAAGGTTCAGATCTCTTAACAGGTAATTATAAGTTGTAATTGACTGGTGGCACCTAACAAGAGTATATTTCTATATCTAAACTTTATATTGCTTTGGATGGATTTAAGTTTAGTACTTATGAGACAACTCTATATGAGTTATGTTATTACCTCTTTTGTGTATACTCTTTTTGTCATAGATTTAATTACACTTATAGATACATTGACTACACCCCTCCTCCAAGAAAGCTGGTTGTCCAGTTACAAATGGGGGTAACAAGTAGCTCTCTACTTTATGACTTAGGGGTTACCTCAGCTGTGGGTAAATATCTTTGCTTGGTTTAAACTTCCTTCTGGACAGTTCATAGTCAATGATTTGGTAATACGAGGAGGTAAATTCTGGGCAAGTCAGCAAATTACCAAAGTGATACTCAGAGCTGTCTTCTCTATCTCCACAAAGTGCTTGCCAAATTTTACTTTATCCTTCTGATCACATTTCTTTTCACAGGTTTTAATTTTTTTATAAAACCTTATATCCCAAACTCTATTTCAGAGTCTACTTACAAAAAGATTTGACTTATAATAGAGCTTTTCTAATAATATTCTTTTTCTAGCCAGGTTTGTAATTGTTTCTCCTTTGAAAATTAAAAATAAGACTCGATGCTTCCCCAGAAATAAAGAACTAACATTAACAGCTTCTCCAAATTCCTTTATGAAATTTTGTGATTTCCAGAACAGAGCAGTTACAGCTTGCAAGATCTGCCCTTGTGAAAACAGCAAGCTTACAATTCTTCTACACCCAAAATTATAATACTCATATTCAAATAACTAAGACAATGTTATGTGATTCGGCTGATTGTTACTTTGCTCTTAACTTATGTTATAAAATACACCTGTGTGTGTGTACACACACACACACACACACACATATTTTGTTGTTGATTGCTGTCAAGTCAAACACAACTCACAGTGACCCTATGAACAAAAGGCCTGAAGCCTTTCTATAACTATCATCACTTATAAAAGTTCAAAATGTTTCCAGAGGAATGTTGTTTTGGAAGTGGGTGCTAGTCCTGCTTCTCTCTCTCTCTCTCTCTCTCTGTGTGTGTGTGTGTGTGTGTGTGTGTTTAAACATCTTCCTCCATTTACTTCTGTCTTCACACTTTCATTTCTCACATGTATTTATCTTCTTTATTTACTAAGAAACAGAATATCAGGGAACTCTGGTGGCCTAGTGGCAAGAAGTTGCGCTGCAATCTCAAAGGTGTGTTTCAAATCTGGATCCAACTCTGCAGAACAGAACAAAACACAACAAAACAAAACAAAATTTTCTGCAGAGTGTTTACAAGCACAACAACACAAAAGCATTAAATATTTATTTATTTATTTATTTGTTTGTTTGTTTGTTTGTTTGTTTGTTTTTTTGTTGTTGTTGATTGCCTTTGAGTTGAGCATGACTCCTAGTGACCATATGAACAAAAGGCCTGAAGCCCCTCTATAATTATTAACATTTTTCAAAGTTCATAGAGTTTCCAGAGGCATGTTATTTAGGAAGTGGATGCCACTCCTGCTTCCAAATCTGTCATAGTATGTTATTGTTTTTATGTGCCATTGAGTCACCTATGATGCATAGAGACTCTATGTATAGCAGCTCTGAACCTTTCTCTATCCTGAGCCAGTCTCACTAAT